TCTTATTTTTTTGGTGGTTTATCGTTAAAAAAACAAATTCTTGACTGTAGACTTTGAAGAAAATCGTATTTTGTGTTATAGTCCTGAAATTACGCATAAAACTAGGACATAAATACAAATCATTCCACTCCTTAGGGAAGACAGAGATTTTGAAAAAAATAAACTGAACTTTTACAATTATTCAATTATTACAATTATACAATACATTTTATCGAACATTGTTATTATGCAGTAAGTTTTTGTCAGTGACAAACAGTCTATAAAACACTTCGGTGGTTATACCTAAATACATATCTGCTTGTAAAAGAAGACCTAGAAACCTAGGTGAAACTGTAGAGCCTAGTTGTCCTCAAACACGTAGAGTACATCAGATTCGTTTTTCTTGATTTAATAAATAATTATATTAAAATAACAAAGCATAATAAATAATAAATATATTAATATTCACACAAAACTCAATTTATTAATATAAATAACAGTACAGAAAGAAAAATATAAATTTGCATAAACTAAGTCAGAAAAAATGTTTTAATATAAATACCCAGCTTTAATTTAAAAGCAAAAAAAAAAATGGTTTGTTAAACATTATTTGTTTACAAATAATTAATTAGGAATTTCAAATTACAGAAACCCTAAATCCAAGAAGTATTCTTTTATGACCTTTTCTACGTGTTTTTCGATCTGCAGTATGACCTCAGAGTATTCACTTTCCTCAAAGGGCTGGTCGGTTGTTTCATCTGCTTCTACCGCTTCAACATCCATTGAAGAACTTTGACCAAGATCAAAATCATCATCATCCATTGAAGAACTTTGATTAAGATCAAAAGCATCAGGATCTTTTGGTAGTATGCAGTATTCCTCCATTAAAGGTAACAAAACATCTTTTACTTGGCGGTTGAAACATTTTTTTAGACTGTAATAGTATTTGCTAATATTTACATCGGCATCCTCGGGGTATTCATACTGTAGTGTGGTCTTTACATCTCGAATCGTAATCACGCTAGTGATGAGCGATTGTATATGATTTTGAAGCTCTTGATATTTATCTATTTTCGTCATCGGCTCTACCAAATAGTTCAACGCACTCGACATGTAATCAAACATCCGTTTGCTCTTTTCAATTTGTTTCAAAAGGGTGTTGAATAGTATACAAGATTTCCGATAGTTACCAGACTGTACATGAAAATGTTCACTAAGAACTTCACCAGCTGCACGTCTAGCGTTGTGGCGATTTTCTTGGCAATATTTTCTTTGATTCGCACGCCCTACCTCATAATCACATCTGTCCATAATGCTCTTAGTCAAATGTATAAATTCATACACTGCATTCGCGTGCACGCATCCCAACAGCTTATTGGCCATGCAGTATTTAATTTCCATGTTTTTTTCAGTGATATTATTCGATTGAATGGGTTCTTCGGTGGCAATATTATTCGATTGATTGGGTTCTTCAGGCGCTATAAATAATTCAATTCCCGAAAAAGAAGAATGACCGCTCGGGTTATCGTGATATTTGACTTCCAAGTGATTGAGCCGGCCCCATCCGTCATTATTTAGAAGTGCATTTAGTATGTTGATGTATTTTTTACTCGGCACGAATTGGTGCGAAAACGATGCCAGTTCGATTATGGTTAATAGAAATAAAATATCTATCCTCACGTTATAAAACATTTTACCAGCTTGAAATATTTCGTTTTAACACAGTACAAAAAATATATATTATGAACGAATTGTTAAATTCGTTCTCGAACAGAAAGCTCTATAATAAACGGTTGACGAATTTGACAATTGGAAATGTGTTTAATTTTAATAAAGTTTTACCATATATATATATCGTTGTTGTTTGTTCTATTTTATTTTCTTGTACCAATAGTTATATGGTAAGCTGCAAAAACTACAAAAAAACATTTTATAGTATGTATTAGAATATTTTAAATTAATAAATGCGGTCGATAGAATCGCGTAGCAATAATACAAAACTAGCATAATCTTTATAATAAAAGTAGCTATTTAAAAACACTACTCGTAGTAATAGTAAAATAATTATAAAAGCTATTTTTTAGTCATATGCAATTATAATAACTTTAGGTTTTGTTATTAAGTAACGTTATAAATAACATAATTAATTAGTACCTAAGGTGCCGGGACCGAGGCGGGTTTCCAGAAAAATTAACTGACGCTAACTAGGTGATTAGTCGATTGGAGGAAGTGTAAGATATAGGAGAAAAATATAAGTAATCTTCAGTACATAATTCTCAATTTAAAAAAAAAATAAAATATATAGGTTACTGTTAAAATTTAAAATGTTACTGTCAAAAAAACCAAGTTGGGAGGGGGTAAAAAGAAAAAAAAGTTGTGAACGACTGAGATCACCTTGTATAATAACAATATGAAAAAAACCGTTTCTAATTTCTTATTAAACCTTATGAGATATTACCTTATGTATATAAATCGTAGAGTAATACAGAGGGAACCGTTACCTATATTCGGCTGCAGTACACGTTATTGCTACAAAAGAGGTTTCCAGTTTTACCATGATCATAAAAAAAAAAATGATTGTACTTATAAAAAGCAGATTTCTGTTTTTAAGCTTAACAATTTCTAATTACATATCTACCTGTAAAAAAGACCTTCAAACAAATCATATTATGTTTATCGATCACAACGTCATTGTAGAGCATAGATATCCTCAAACACGTAGGGTACATCAGATTCGTTGTTCTTGCATTAATAAATAATTATATTAAAATACCAAAGTATATTAAATAATAAATATATAAATATCAACACAAAAAACCATTTATTAGCAACATAAATAACAGTACAAGAAAAAATATAAATTTGTATAAATTTAGTCAGAATAAATGTTTTAATATATATACCCAGCTTTAATTTAAAAGCAAAATAAAAAATGTTTTGTTAAACATTATCTATTTACAAATAATTTATTAGGAATATCAAATTACAGAAACCCTAAATCCAAGAAGTATTCTTTTACGACCTTTTCTACGTGTTTTTCGATCTGCAATATGACCTCAGAGTGTTCACTTTCCTCAAAGGGCTGGTCGGTTGTTTCATCTTCTTCTACCGCTTCAGCATCCATTGAAGAACTTTGATTAAGATCAAAAGCATCGGCATTATTCGGTAGTACGCAGTATTTCTTCATTAAAGGTAACAAAACATCTTGTAATTGGCATTTGAAAATTTGTAATAACTCTAGATAATATACGTTAATATTTACATCGGTGTCCTCGGGGTATTCATATTCTATCGTGGTCTTTACATCTCGAATTGTAATCACGCTAGCGATGAGCGATTGTATATATTTTCGGAGTAATTGATGTTTTGCCATTTTTGTCATCGGCTCTACCAAATAGGTCAACGCTTTCGACATGTAATCAAACATCGGTTTGCTGTCATCGATTTGTTTCAAAAAGGTGTTGAATAGTACACAGGATCTCCGATAGTGACCAGAGGGAACCACAAAAGGTTCATTAACCTTACCTGCGGCAAGTTTAGCGTTGTGGCGTTTTTCTTTTCTATATTTTCTTAAATATGCTTGACGTACCGCACGTTTACATTTAGCAAGAACGATCTTAGTCAATTTTATGAAATCATACACAGCCTTCGCGTACACGCATGCCATAACCTTATTGGCCATGCAGTATTTTTCTACCATTTTTGTGTTGCTGATGTTTTTTAATTGATCTTCGGGGGCTATAAATAGCTCAATTCCCGAAAAAGAAGTCTTAACGTTTGATTTACATTTGACTTCCACGTGATTGAGCCGTAGCCATCCTTCATTTTTTAGAAGTGTATTTAGAATGTTGTTAATTTGTTCATTCGACCCAACCTGCCGCGAATACGATGCGAGTTGGACTATGGTTAATAAAAATAACAGATCCATTGACACGTTAAAAAACATTTTACCAAGTTAAAATATTATGTTTTAAAGGCAGTACAAAAAAAAGTTATTATATTATACACGAAGAATTACATTCGTTCTCAAACAGAAAGCTCTATCTAAGACGACGATTGACGATCGATGATTGACATTTGGAAATGTGTTAGTTCTAACAGTAAAATCGCCTTTTTTGTTCACTTAGGCATAGAGTTTTTTTTATTCGCCAACATGACAGGCTATAGGTCTTCTTTTGCAGTCGAAATGTTATAAAACATTTTACCACCTTAAAATATTTCGTATAAACGCAGTACAAAATATATATATATTTTATGTACGCATTGTTCATTCGTTCTCAAACAAAAAGCCCTATGTTAAACGGTTGACGTATTCGATATTTGGAGATGTGTTTACTTCTAATAGTAAAATTGCTGTTGTTGTGACCTCCCCGTCCCCGCTATGCCCCGACCCCGCTGTACTGGTAAAATATGTTATTATGTGCTAGATAGTTTTAGTTATCATGGGATTAAGTATAGTTCCACAAACACTAATGCAAATAAAAAATGAATAGATATCATTTAGAGTTACATTGGTTCTACAACAGAAAGCTCTATCTAAGACGACGACTGACGCATTTGACATTTGGAAATGTGTTTACTTCTAATAGTAAAATCGCTTTGATGAAAATAACATCATGAGCATTGAATGTAAGATTTGTTTCATTTGTGTTTTAATTTTGTTTTTTTTATCATTTATTAATAAATAAATATTGAATATATTATAATATTTTTTAAGTAGGATATTTGGTTAAAAACGTAATAATAATATGAAAAAAGCTTAAAAGGTACAACCGTTAGCAGTTTTCTGTTTTCAAGCTAACAAATTGCTTTTGTTGGGTATTTCATTTCAGAAGCAAGAAGAATTGAAGGTGAAATTAGTAAAAATCAACTTTACTAGGCACCTTTTTTTTTAATCAATAACTTTTTTAATGCTGATTACGAATTTGTAATTTAAGACACAAAAAATATTTTTAAAAAAATGTTTGAAAAATTGTGCCCGCTAGAGTGGCGTTTGTTCTGAAAAATTATAATACCTATAATCCAAGATTTAGGTATTGGCTTTGAAAAACTTAGCCTACCCAATAGGTACTGCACTGATTACATAAAATCTTAATATGTGTAATTATTTTTTAATGTTTAAAAATATTCATGGGTATCATTGTATTTTTATAGAAATAAATTACACAAATTACATTTATTGTGACGTGTATGTATGTATCCTGATAAAACACTATACAATGTGAATTATAATGCAGTACAGAGATTGTCCAATTTAGGAACGAGATAAGTATTATTAATTATCAAAAAAAAATTCAAAATTTTCTGGATTTGTGTGTAGAAGACTGGAAAGTGACTGAAAAGTGGTCAAACTACATGTTTTTGGAGTCGTGACTTCGGATTTCTTATATTACAATACATATTGTACTCGATAGACAGCAAGTTAATCTAAACCAAAAAAAAACTTCAACATAATATCAACGTTTTTTTCTTTCATTTGCATTATATATTTTAGCCATATAAAACAATATCGGTGTAATCGTTACAAATTCCGGTCAAAACTTTTTTGATGTATATTAAAAGTTGTCTGATGAAATATAGTTCAAATAGATTAAACATGATTTAAATCGATAAAACGAAAACCAATAGAAAATAACAGGTTTATTTTGAACATGGAAAATATCTTATACTCTTTTTTATGGCTTTTGCTAATTTCTGCTTATTTATTCATTTGTATAAATGTCATAGCAGGTCCCCCTTGGAATCTGCGACTGACCTGAAAATAGTTTGCTTTCTGTCACCCGCCCGCGGCTAGTTTTTTAAAATAATTTTCCAACTTAAAACTTAAGTTCGGTATGAATATTTAAAAACAATATAATTTGTACTTAGGCACACAAATGCATGAAAATTGCGCAAAATACTCATGTATACTCAGGTGTTTCGCATGTTGCCGAATGTTACCTGGCTAAAAACACTTAGCAGTGTTATTTTCTTTAACCTAATACGATGCATTCAAGTTCTAGTTTTTTTTATAATGTTTAATAGTTATTAGTCATATAACTAAAAGATATATTTATAATTTGACGAAGTCCTGAATCGATAGTTAGATGAATTTCCAACCAATTTAAAAAAATAACCGTTTGGAAATTAATTCTAACAACATGACGGGGGATAATGTAGCCAAAGTTCTAGCGAACTCACTCTCTCAAACTACACTTTGTTAAATAATAACATATCCTAGAATACCCACAAAGAAAAAAACTTTATAAAGCTAACACATAAACATAATAAAGGTTTTATTATACACCATTGTACACTAACAAATAATGAATTTAAACAGTTAGTGGCTAACCATTTTTTGCTATACTGAGATATTAATCTACTATGTTAAGCAGAAAGCCCACCCTTAATATAATATTTCTTAAAAAAACAGAAGTTTGTAATATTAAAAAAAAAAAAAAATAACAGTTAACAGTTAGGTAAACGGTTAAATTATTATCAATGCATCAAGTTACGATTTGTTATCTACAGATTTAAATCTTTTAAAATTTGCTCGAAAAAGTAAAACAAATAAAAAAATCCCTTCTAGGGGTAATGGTTTATTATATATTAATTGTTCTGTTAATGTTTGGTCAGTAGAACTGTGTTTAAATAATATTCCATACATATTAGAAACGTATTAGACTATTTTTTAAAAAGTTATGGAACCCCGTAATTTGAAGTTTTTCTCTGAAGATTTTTAAGGGGAAGGGGTGAAATTTTGTAATTATTAACCCAGTCAAGTACGATTTCTGATCACTAATCAGATATAATAAATAACCTGTAATCTAAGTAATCTGTAGATAAGTGACTTTCTAATTGTTAGAATGTTATCGCCAATCGGACAATGCGAACATAAATATGAATTGTGTGTGCTGTCGGTTTTGGAAAACCGAAGAAATATGAAAATTGTTAAGAGGAAATTTAGTATCTTTACAAAGTCAAAGCAAATGAACAGATAAATAAAAATAAAAACATCAAACGCTAACATAATTTTACATTCTTTGTCTAAAAATGTATGTAATTGAAAACATATGTTGCCATTTAAAAAAACCAAAATCCCCCTTTTTGCCTTACAAGAATCGGTGATAAAAATTTTCAAAATATTGAAAAATGTAGTAAAATATGTACCTAAAAGTTTAGGGGAAAAAAAATTCTCAAAATTTTCATCTTTTTAGGGAAAGTGAGAAAGAGAGAGTGTCTTACGTTAGTTGGACCCTGTATATGAGAGTTGTTTTTTTTCTTTGATGACCCCCGAAAATGCTTCAAATTAATGAACATCTATTGTCCTCACAGTTTTTTCAAAAAAATTGTATTGATTTTTGAGAAAATTGTTTATGTTATAGTTTTATTCTAGATCTACCTTCGGTCTAGTTTTTATTCTTAATAAATCCCATGCGAATAAATTAACTTCAAAAACAAAAAAAGTCTATGCATTTATAACATTTTTTTAAGGGTTTTCCTAATTTTTCAATGAATAATAATATTTGAACTATAAAACTGTGCATTACTTGTTTTTGTAGCAGTACAACTTCTTTTAAAAACTACATAAAGATATCAGATTTAAAAATAACAATTTTTTATTTTGAGTGTTGATTTGTTTTCGTCAAACCTACTTACAATTAGTTAATAAAAATAAATTATATTATCCTAATCAATCGAGCATTACAAAGAAAAATTATTAACAATGATTTAAGATATTAATCATGATTGAAAAAAATGAATCATGGGCACGATTACATTTATCATCGATGAACAAGTTAACAATAGCTAAAATAGACATGATATGGTTTATATTTTATGCTAAATAGTTTTTACCGTCTATATCCGTTTTGAGAAATGTTATACTTAGGTTCTGATTTCTACTACTAACATAGTTTACTATTGCACAAATGGTTAGCCACTAAAAGCTTAAATTCGTTAGAGATTTCTAATTACAATTATTGGTTTGCGTACAATGTTATATTGTAATAACATTTCAATATTCAAGTGTTAGCTTCATAAAGATTTTGTGTCTTTTTGGGTATTCTAGGATATTTTAGAATTTGTCAGTACAAAGAGACGTTAGAGTCTAATAATCGATTTAAGAGTTTGTCAAATCGAAAATATATTTGGAACGTTTGTCTACGTTTTTATATGCAATACCGAAGCGGTTTAATAATTTTATTTAATAGGTATTAATATAATATTATATTTTATGGCTCACTATAGTGGCATTAGTAAAATGCGTATACAACGTATACAGTTTTAAAAAAGGGTGGCTTTGTATACGTTGACTATGTAAAGTTCATTAGCGTACACGATATTTATATTATATGCAAACCATATTTTGCGGAACGCGATGGAAATTAGAATTAAAACTACGGGTTGTTTTATACACAGAAAATAGTGGTATTTTATTATGTAAATTGTAAAAAAATAATATTTTTACATTATGTTGAATGCCCCCCGGCTTTTAAAATAATACAAAAAATAATCTCTTGTAAATATCACTAATAAGTAGGTATTGGGATTTTATTATAAAAAAAAATTAGCAACGAATTGCAAAACATTTAATGCAACGGCTTAAGATATTCGGTGAATACGGTTAAAGAACATATTTTTGTATCGTCGGAAACATCTGAGTACACATGGGTGCATATTTTGTGCGACTTTCAAACTATGGTGTGCCTAGCAAAAATGTAAATTATATTTGTTTTTGAATATGCATACCGAATTTTAGTAACAGGTATGAAAATGATTTAGAGAACTAGCTGTGTGCGAGTAAAAGGAAAGTGCAAAGTATTTTTAAGGCGGTCGCAGATTTCTAGGGGGGTTAATTTGCAGTCTACCGAGTACAATGCACATAAAATATAATACACTTTTTTCATGACCATCTGTACTAAGCATGACCAAATTTGTAACAGCTCGGCATTTTACCTCTTGCAACGATTATAATAATCATAATAATGTGGGAACTACGAGAAAAGACATGGCCAAAATCTTGATCAGCAGTGTTGCAACTACGATTTTTGGGCGTCAGGGCAACAGAAGTTATCATCTAACCTTCCTCCCGTAATAAACCGCTTTTATATGTTAATAGTGTGTATAATAATAATAATATATACAAATCACTTGCAAAATAAAGTTTAGGGGCGGCAACCGGTTGCGCGCGCTAGAATGTTCGAGAGCATTCTTCCAGAGACGCGGTGGCGGCTATCGCTGTATGTGCCGCACTACGCGAATGTTCGAGAATATTCCCTTGCGCTCACCACGTCATCCCCCTGGGAAGTGAGTTGCTATGTTCTTCTTCAGCAGGTTTGGCTGGGAAGTGTTTAGTTGAACTGGAAGGTTTGGTGATGAAGTAGGCCAGTTTATGGCGGTCAATTGATACGGTACAACTTCTTGTTTTCAACCAAAATGTCGAAAGTCTTGTCACCGCGGGTTAGAACTGGATGAGGTCCGGTGTAAGGTGGCTGAAGAGAAGTTCTAACCAAATCGGTGCGTAGCATGACACGAGTGCATGTTGCTAGATCTCGATGAACGAAAATGCGACCTTTCGAGTGACGTGATGCAGGAACGAGACGGAGTTTTAAAATTATGGTTCGGAGATTTGACACAAAGTCTGAAGGTTCAGAAGGGAATGGCAGTGGAGATGAAAACTCATCGGGAACTCGCAATGTCTCTCCGTTCACTAGTTCTGCAACTGAAGATTGGAGGTCAGCTTTCCAGGCAGTGAGCAGACCAAGGAGTACTAATGGTAGTGCGTCTGACCAAAATGATTCTTCGTGGCACATAATGGCCGCTTTAAGAGCTTTAATTACTTAAGGAATATGTATTGGGCATGTCCCCGTCCAGAAATAGGCTTAAATAAAAATGTCAATAACCCTTCACCCCCCCCCCACCAACTATTTTAAAAGTTATAAGAGTTTAAAAGTTAGGGAGGGAGGGGAGTGCAGTTGGGAATTGCGCGCAGATAAAAAAAATACTACTCTCCTGAGTCACCACCTTTTCTCCGGTCTTGAAACTTCAATAACTTCAAAAATAGTTAAACTAACCTAACCGGTAGTGATAAGCAACATTGAATGATAGCACGAG